TTTAATTGGCATGCCTATTTACTCTGTCAACCAGAGAAGTCCCTCCACCAATTTGGGGGTTCGTGACACTATTTTGAGGCATCCTAGCAGCTAGTTTCTTCACCGCACAATCATTATTTATATGCCTCATTATCTCATTTTAGATTCAGCTGAAGCGGTTTGGAGCAAACAGTAACACCCACATGGGACCGCGTCCCTCCCTAGCATCAGCTCAGAGGGGCGTGGCCTCTGCTTCTCCTTCTCTCACTGAAGCTGCTTGACCATTGGTCATCTGGCTAAGATCTGAAAGTGCCCAGATCCGCCTGTTGCCTTTGTTCTTCTGAAATTGAAAACAGCATGGGAGTGGTGCCCTGGTACTTAGTGATCTCCGCTCCCCCAGCGAGGTTTCAGCTGGTGATGTAGCGCGAATGGCTTCTGCCTGAGCTGGTTATTACCCGGTTATTACACTGGGGGCTGCAGAATAGTGACTTCCTGTCATTCCGCCCTCAGAGTCGACACGCCGCTCTAAAGAAATTTTCTTCTCCCTCACGCCTTTGGGGGTCCTTTTTGTTATTAAGTGCATTGTAATGCATGTCCCTGGGTATTCTTTTCTTATCTCAAATTGTCCCAGCAACTCTGGCCTTTTGACATGTCTAAATGGGTTTTGGATCATCTTCCTATTTTTGCAGCAGCATGGTTCAGGGCTCACCAGGTGCTTTTTTTTTTTTTTTTTTTTTTTTTCTGCCCTGAACTAGGACTCTAAAATAGTCAGCCTCTAACATGAAGTGTGTTCTAGGGAAGGAACCAAGTCATTTTCAACTGGACAAAGAACGATTAATTCAGTCTCTGTAAGGCAGAGAATGAGAAAGTGATACAGCCTAGGGCCTTTCCTGGGAGTTCAGACTGTATGGATCCAGTTTACAGAGAAAAAGCTGGATTTGTTCCTGGAGGGAACACAAAATTTTCCATGAAAATGGGAAATTCATGACTTAGCTGCACAGAACGGCTGACAAGTAGGTAGGAAATAGCCAGGTGATAGGGAGTCCAAACTGCTATGCCAAGATATATGGATAGGTAGGGGAGCGGTGTTTTGCTTTGTTTTCATTTGATAGTTACCCCATTGCCAATTAGGGTCCAATCATTAGTTATTCTTTCCCATAGGAATGGAATGATTAGAGTTGGGGTAAGAGGAAATATCTGCCACAAGGTCAGTCACTATTCTCTTAAAACTTTTAGTAGTCTTCCTATGTGTTCCTCAGCCTTCGGGAATGAGCATGTTGAGATTCAAGTATTTATAGACATTCATGTGGATTAATCATCTGAAGTAACTTAACTTAAACCAAGTGTCATGGGCCTTTTATAATCTGCCATATGAGGCTGAACATTTATATGTGGAACGATAATCAGATTCTATGTAATGAAAGCAAGAGACACTATTCCCCTGGTATGACCGATGACTACATCCATCCTATCTTGTCATTTTTGCTAAATCATGACAACCTTAGGCATCTTTATTCCCAGATTGACCCTCAGATGTTTGGGGGTGAGGGGACTTTAGTCATAACCCAAAATGTCTTTCAAATTTTTTCTGTGAAGATTTTATTGTGGTATTCAGAACTATAATTTTCTTAGAATAATAGTGAATGTGGATTTTTTTAGTTTATGTTAATAATACATAATGATGTGTTTCATTATGGCATTGCTACATGGATATAATTTACTTTGATCATACTCTCCCATTACCTGGTCTTAACCCCCCTCTAACCCCTCCTGTTCCCCTTCCTCTTCCAAGTTAGTTGTCCTTCTACTTTCCTGTCGTGGTGTGTGTGTGTGTGTGTGTGTGTGTGTGTGTGTGTGTGTGTGTGTGTGTGTTGTGTTCATCATTGAATTTTATTAAGTTGTTGGCATGGGCTTGGTGAGTTGTGATCTACAGGTTAGGCTCCATGCTAGTGACTGCACTGATGGGGTTGTCCTTCTGTGTGTGTGTTTCTCTTATTGGTCGATGAATAAAGCACTGTTTGGCCACTGGAGGCAGCAAGATGGCAGGGCTACGAGATGAGGAGAATGCTGGGGTGAGAGGCACCGGGAGGAGACCCTACGTAGCCACGGTTCAGGCATTCTCCAGTAAGCTAAGACCACATGGGAATACATAGGTTTATAGAAATGGGTTAATATTTAAGACAGAGCCAGCCATTAAGAAGTCCTAGCCATCGGCCAACAGTTTAATAATTAATGTAAGTCTTCGTGTGTTTATTTGGGGCTGAAAAGCAGCTGTGGGACCTTGTGGGAAGGAAACTGCAGCAATGCTTCACTGTTGAAGAAAGCATCTCCTTGTCCCCCATCAAAGATAAATCCTCAGGAGCACCTTCCCTGTCTGTGGTGCAATTGTTGATGGGTCCAAATTTGTGCAGTCTGTGCAAATAATATGTTCAAGGGAGCAGTGGCCACGCCATGCCCAGAAGGCACAGTCCCACGGAAGCAGCACTCGCTTCTTCTAGCTCTTGCTTTCTTCCGAGCCCTTCTCCCGTGAAGTTCCCTGAGCTTTGGAGGAGCTGACACAGATGTGTCATTGCAGGCTGAGCATTCAACCATCGACTCATTCTCAGCATGCTGACCGATGATGAGCCTCTGCAGTAACCACCACCCATTACAGAAGGGGGGTGTCAAGCTTCTGTGCCAAGAAGACAGGAACATAATCCGTGAGCTCAGACTAGGTATTGAGAAGGGAATTTGGCATGACGGTCTGTCCATTTAGAAACACAACAGCAGTAGGTCCCACTCAGTCCAATATAAGTTTAAATGGACTGTTCTGTGGTTCAAATTATTCATTTTAGTTTCTACTCTCGGTCAACTGGGAGATATCACACGTGCTTTATGCAATAGCAAATAGTATAGAATAAAACCTAACTTATAGTTGCTTTGCTCATTAAAATGTTTTCTGAAGAAGACTTTGTTCCTGTGTGTTCTAACACAGCCATTTCAATTCTTTCCTCATTTGAAAAAGAATTAGGATGCATCATACCTTACAAAAAGGTGCATGATGTGATTTCCTACCTCTGAAAGCCTGGAATTCTTAGCCCTGGGAAAATCAGAAAAGAATTAATGCACAGCTGTCAACCACAAAAACAGTTTCATACTGTTATCCTTTGAGCTCGGTTAAAACTAGGATTTTCATCTAATCGGTTTCCAGATTTGCAACACATTATGTCAATTTCAGGTGGCTATGTGTACTTGGTTCTTCACTATAGAGATAGATCCCTCTTTGAAATTAACGAGCTTCTAAAGCACCCTCTTTTGCCCTTGTGATTAACTAAATGACATCAAAAGTCCACAGTCACCAAAACAATGTTTGGAAAATTTTGTACCCCTAGTTCTGGGATGAGTCTAAAAAAGCCACTGGGGGGCGGGTGGCACAGTCTTATAGAAAGCAGATGCCCCCCCAACCAAACCCCACTCTCCACAACATGTAACGGTATCTTTATCTCCAAGTGTACTGCAGGTTACAGTAGTGTTCATAGGAAAGTCACTCTGCATTCCTGGACAGTTCTATTTTATGGCTTTTTGTTTGCATTAGTAAAGACATTGACAACTACAAGAAGCAAATAACATAAATTTGAATTTAAAAGAAAAAACAAGGAGAGTAGCAGTGCTTACTGTATGTTGACTTGCAGTGCTGTTGCTGGGGATTTAAATTGTATTTTCAAGGTGTCCTCAGGAAGATAGCAGGCCCCCTCTAGTGGAGAGTGAGCCTTGTAACTGAACTGTTTCCCTCAAGCATGAACTGCATAATTAGATTCTGAAGGAAAAGAGTTTGTGTTTCTCCTCACATTTTAACCAAGAAAATCCTGTTAATCAAAGGATATTTGCAAGAGAGTTGTTTTAAGTCACATTGGTGAAATGAAGTGTTCTGCGTAAGCAAGGCAGAAGGTGCTGGTTTGTGTCAAGGTGCTAAGTTGCTAAGAAATAAAATATGTATTTGCATGTGTGTACCTGCAAGATATATAAATATACTGTGGTAGTTTGAATGTAATTGGTCCCCATAGGGAGTAGCCCCATAAGGAGTGGCACTATTAGGAGGTTTAGCTTTGCTGGAGTAGGCACAGCCTTGTTGGGAGGAGTGTGTCTCTGTGGAGGTGGGTTTTGAGGTCTAAAGCCATGCCCTGTGTTGACTACTGTTCACTTCCTGTTGCCTGTGCAAGATGTAAAAATTTCAGCTCCTTCTCCATCCCGCCATGTCCCATCAGGATGATAGTGAACTGAACCTCTGAAATTCTAAGATTCCCCCAATTCAATGTTTTCCTTTACAAGAGTTGCCATGGTCATGGTGCCTCTTCATAACAATAGAAACCCTAACTAAAGACATGTACAAACTCTTTAACTTCCTAAGTCAAACTCACACCTTCACTCCCATAGTTAAGTAGCTTGAATGATAATCTTATCTCCTGCCTTTGTCCTGAGCTGAGACTATAACTTGTACAATATTGAACACCTGAAAGTCAGCTTTGACCCTTGTGTTCCCTTTAACTTTCCAGAACATAAGCTATGCTCACCACATTTCTTTACGAGTCAAAAATAATGACCCAAACTCCATGCTTTTTAGATCCCTAGTTTTCTGTCCCCTATGACTTTTAATGTGCTTTTTAGAGTTTAATGGTACTATAAAAAGTTATTTCTGTACTATCAAAAATTAAATGAAACTTACCCAGGCAAGCAAGAAAGTAAATGGTATGTTACTGATAAATATTTTGAGTTTAGAATTAGTAAAGAAAAGGGGAAGGGTAATGAATCTATTATCAATAATAATGTATAGCCCAAAACGGTGAATGATACAATCACAGGTTCTGAGAATGGATATAGAAATTCTTGGTTTTAAAACCCTACACCATGTGTTTCCTTCATTCTGCTTTTGTATAACATCTATCAAAGAATATGCTCAACTGCGTCGTCGTAGCTGCTGACAACTTTGGTCTACACTGTGCTAAGTATTTTCCGCTAATCTGTCTCTCCTTTTTTCCCCACAGCAAATGATGTGCTTGCCTTTGGAACACTGGTCAGTACTTCTAACACCTACGATGGGTCTGGGGTCGTGACTGTGGAAACTGACCGCCCGCTTCTCTGGACCATGGCCATCAAAAGCTAACATAGAGTGTGGCATCCACCACGTTCCTCTGCCTTCCCTCATCTGCCCAGCAGTCCATTGCTCACGAGGAACAGTCACCTTGGTGTGCAGAAATTTAAACTTCTCCGTAGGAAGCCATGGGCTTTCAAGATGTTGGGGGTCAGGGTACAGCTGAGCAGAGGAGCGCTTGCTGCACAAGTGGAAGGTCTTGGGGTTCAACCCTCAATACCACAAAGTAGAAATACTGGTGTTTAAACAATTCTGGGTCATGCTAAAAATGATATCAATTTTATATTGAGGGAAAATTATGTTCTATCGAAGTAAATAAGCTTTATTATACTCAACTGAAAAAGCCAATGTAGATCACTACATTATATAATTCAGTTCTGATCATTTTAATTTAATTAATCAGTCCATTTACCTTTTTTAGTTAGTTTTCTTTAATTTCAAAGCACCAAAAACTTTTTTCAGTGTTGCCTTAGAGTCTAGCACTTCCTTAAATACCTGACAACACGGGCTGCCTACCTCTGAGTATCTCCTGATATGGAATTCCTCTCTATAATGTGTGTGATCTTCCAGAGTGCTGTGATAGAACGGCACCCTTTCCCTTTGACATGACATTTTAAAAGAATCATTGACTTAGTTGTTACATTTGAAAGGAAGCAGTTACATGGGCCACAGGTGGATGAGAAGTGGTAATCCATGGCTCCCCATACATTAACCCCTCAAAACTTGAAACTAAACACTCTGAGCTTTAGAAATGTGAAAATCATGACAAATCCAAAAGGTTTGCGCAGAGGAACCTTAATCCTAAAAATTCAGCCACTTCTAACATACCTCACACTAGAAAACGAAGTGTTAATCCGTGGACCACACATTTCCTGCTGTCTCCAGAAAACAAGTGTGCCTGTGGAGCTAGGTGAGCACCGCCTGCTGAGAAATCGACGTCGGAGGCCTGTCCCTTCATCCCAGGCCACCATGTGCCTGGTTCGCCAGCCCCTTCTAGCTGTAGAGTGGAAGGGGTTGTGATCATTGAGTGTGGAAAGAACCACGGATGCAAACCGTAAATGCCACCATGCTGCAGTTGTAGAGCAGGTAACACTATCTTAGTGTAAGCTTGCTGGTGCATTAAGATTTACCAACCTTTCTTTCAGGAGTTCCCCACTCATCTGTCCACCCTCCCCTATCCCATTTGTCAAACTACATCTTGCCAAACAACCCGTGGCTTAACCCATGTCGGCGTTTATCCATGACTATGTCACTGTCTTCTTGGTGCTACAATAGCATAAGGCTTAAAACATAAATGAGAAAGAAAAGGGATCAGGTGAACCAACAGCAAGTTCTGAACACAAATTGTTAGAATTATTGTTATCATTTATGCAAACGTATGACACTGAAATCTGGATATCAAATAAAAACGGTTATCAGTGTGCATGTGTATAGTGGTTTTCTAAGAAAGTGTTCAATTTGGTCGCTTGTATTTCATTATGACCCATCTCTCATATTCGGTGTTTCTGCTCAAAGGGTGACTAAAGATGAGTAATTCGTAATTCAGTCTCAAGTGTGATTTCAAGCAGCAATCCAGTTGTATTACATTCTTCCTCTACCCTTTCCCCATGGATATTACTCTCTAGACACATGTTCTAGTGATTTTTTTATCCCATTGTTTTGAACACTTCTTGCTCTATCTGTAAAAATAAGAATTGATTGTCTTACCTACTGACTTTGTAGGAATCAGAAAAGACAAAAATAAAGAGATGAGATGGGACAGTGGAAGCTTACATTGGTGCCAAGGTGACAGGCCCGTGCCTAGGACCTCCTGCATCTTCTCAATTACAAATGCAGAGCTCGGAGGCTCCACGAATCCCTTCATTCCCAACAGACAGATGCTGCTACTGGACCAGAAGGGAGGAGCCACCGAGCTCCTTCCCGGATTCAGTAGGAAAGCCTGCGCAGGACCACCGGTTGCTGCCACAAACAATGCTTGCCACAGATGCAACTAGAAGGGGAAAAGGAGACAGAACCACAGCTGGGTGTGCAGCGTCTTCGTTACCCCCACTCTCTGCTCCGTGCAAAGTAGGCAGAGGCTCAGCCATGTCTCCGTTTTCCAGTTTGTGAACTGTTACAGGTTCATAGGGAAGTATATTCATTACATGTGAAAGACATATGTCCGTCATTTTAAAAATGTACTACTAATGCATGTCTTAGTTAACCTGCAAGCGTGCGTGTGTGTGTGTGTGTGTGTGTGTGTGTGTGTGTGTGTGTGTGTGTGTGTGTGTGTGCGCGCGCGCGCGCGCGCTTCAATGAAGCTTGCCAAACATGTCAACACTGGGGTGAAGTACAGCTACTTAACTCAGACTGTCCTATGTGAATCATAGCAGAAACATTGGATGACCACCTCAGGGATTAACTCAAAGAAAGTAAAGGCCACCATCCCCAGTTCCTCCTGATAACTGAAGAACTGCTTGCTAGTGTCCTAACAACCCCTGCCTGTTCCTTGAAGCCGCATGATGGCAGTCTCCCTCTGTGTGCTATCTGACTCTACCATCTAGATGTTTGCCTATTTTTTTTATAGCAACATCATGAGACTGTAAATGGTGTGGGCTCAGCTATATGGTGACCATCAACCCTCCAAAGAATTCCCTCTCAGCCCCTGTTCAGGTCAGATTCTCACCACAGCCTGTAGCTATAATGGGAAATTGCAAGTTGGGCCTGCTAGGAAAGCTACCCATGCTTCTTGAACCTTGACTTAGACCAATTCCTCCCATCCAGGATAGTGACGCTTGAATAAAATGACATGGGCTATCCAAAGCACGAGCTTGGTCTGAGCCAACAGCAACATGAATCACCTTTTTTGTTTGTTTGTTTTTTGTTTTTCAAGACATGGTTTCTCTATGTAGCTCTGGAGCCTGTCCTGTAAACCAGGCTGACCTCGAACTAAGAGAGATCCATGCACCACCACCGCCCGGCACAGTCTCATGGGACTGTGAGATGTTACAGGGGAGTAGGGTGGGGTCAGATGTGGGTCTGACAGGAATACTCATGGAAAAGGACACAGCAGTTTCCACCGTGGTTGAAAACTACGACTTTTACTCACAGAGAAGCAAGGAGGAGGTGCACACTGCTTGGGTGTTTCTGAAGCTATCTATAATGTTAGAGTTTTGCCTCAGACATCTATGTGTGGAGTCAGCCGCACTTACTCCTCACTCCTGCTCAGTCACACCTCCACACGCGCTCCCTGAGAAGCAGCCCATAGGAGTGATGTGATTGAGACTGGTGACAGGCACCAAGTCGGAGAACAGGGAGAAATGATTCTTCACCCCTCTAGGGCTCTGTGATTATTATAGTCTCAGTGGTGACTTTCAAACTGTGTTTACAGTGACCCACAAAAAATATATTTACTTTGTGACCCAGTCTGTAGAGAAGCAGGCAGGCACGCGAGCACGTGCACGCTCACACACACACACACACACACACACACACTCTGAAACCTGCGGTGTCTTCTAATTTTATCTTCAATGAAAAAGTACTTAGGTATTATATTTGAAAAGCACACCTCAGAAAAGAGCAAAATGCATAAAGTTACTTTAAAAATACGTGTGAGCATGAATATGAGTCCTACCCTGAGATTACACCCATTTCTTAAATGTATGATATTGATGTCATTTTAGGAGTACACTTCTCTGTACAGATTAAAATTTAAGACACAAGGCCAACTCCTTCCTAGGGAGCCCTTGTATAAAGTCTGGACAATAACTGGCAGGTGTGGGTAGCACAAATTGGCCCTTCCTTGCCCATAGCAGATTTCACTCATCAGTCATAATTTTCTTTTCTGGTGAGCCAAAGCCTCAAAATCCATCTCAAAACAGCTATCCAAGCAGATGTGATCGCCGCCGCTCCACTGGCTCAGAGCTAATGTGTTATTTTCCCACTGTATACAAAACCACTCTGCTGACAGCCCAGGAAAGAGGCCGTGGAAACATCACTCTTGCTCACAGCTAATGGGTAAATAAGCACATCCAAGGACTTGTCCTCTGTCTGCTAAAAGCAAGGGCTTTGTACACAGCAAAATAAAAACTAGGTCCATCTGAAAATAACTGGAGAAAACATAATGTGGACCCTGTGCTCATTTTAGTTGAGAAAGCAGAGTCTTCAGAATAGGCTTGCAGGTTCTCACTAAGAGCCAGAATCTCTAAGATACAATACTGACAGAACAGAGTCCATCCAGTATGGATGGAAAAGGATTTTAATAGTTAAAGAGCTCAAAAATATTAACTTGTACCTTAGCAACTATTTATTTTGGAAGTATCTTTTAAAATCTAAAGACTGGGTGAATATTTATTAGACAAGGCTTAGGGGAGAGGACAAAAATAAAAAAAAATTAAGTTGAAAATTCTGTAATAGAACAGTATTCCATCTGAATAATTAATTTCATGCCGAGTTGTTTAACGTTACAAATCCTTCCTAGACCGTAAGCCCCTGTGGACATGTACATCCTTCTGTGTTGTCATCTGCTGTCTCCTGCTCTAGGATAGGACCTGTCTGCTGCAGGAGTCCTGGGGAGACGTGTAATATGCCGCTGTGGTAGCAAACCTCTCCCTTGCACCAGACTGGGAATGAACACATGAGTTTCCCAGCATCCAGAAACCACTGTTCTTTTCCTTCTGTGGCTCTGAGCTGTCTACACTTCAGATACGCTAATATCTCTTTTACACGGGTCGCTCAATCCTAAAGACACGTGTCCTAATTCTGCACTGGACGGACCTGGTAAAATCATTGTTCACTTTCCTGCCTGTAGAAGGAAGTAATATTTACAAGGCCAGGCTACAAGGTACCAATCCAAGGCAAATATATTGATGAAGGTTAAAAAAAATATTCCTGAGAAGGCCAAGGACTATGAAGTTGCCTGAAACAGGCACAGAATGACAGAGCTTGGGACAAGTGGTTTAGGGGAGAAAACCAAGGACATAAGGGTAAAGGCTGTCGCTGACTGGTGGGAAAGGAAGGTAGAACAACAAAGAAATTAAAAGAAATTTCCGAAGTTGGAAATCCTGAAGCTGAAGCACCTCCCAGATGGAGGTTCAGGACACAATGGTGGCTGTCCTGAGCTAAGGCAGACTAAGACAGGAACACATGCTGCCTCTCACAACTTAAGGGCGTGGCGTTCGATTCTGACCTGTTTGTTTGCATTTAAATCTCTACTTGTTCCCCCAAATTAAGCTGATGAAATTAGCTTGGGAATTCTAAGATCATGAAGCGGTATATAGTGTCTCCAGCTGAACTGTCCACGCTAAACCTAATTATTTGTGAATCTGATTCATTGTTCTCTATTGAGTAGCCTATTTATGAAGTAGAATCCCATTTTAATTTAAACCAGGTGTGGTGGTGCACACCTATAACCCCAGCACTTGTGAGTGGGGACAGGAGAATCAGAAGTTCAAGGTCATCCTCAGCTGTATAGTTAGGTCAAGGACAACTGAGCTTCATGAGACTGTTTTCAGAAACAAAACAGGCAAACAAAAGAAGCAACACCAAAAATCCTATCTTATAAAAGCATCACTTTTATGAATACACCTAGCAAATATTTGCAGAATACACACGCAGACACACGCAGACATCTGTGTTTGTAGCAATTCTTTCGCCTGTCGCCCTCCTTACCCCACGACATCTTACTGGATAGACCTAGTAACTTTGGTCATCTTACAAAATTTAAAACCCAGTTATTGCCAAGATAACTATGCGTTATGACCAATTATAGGAAAAGTCCTAAAAGTGAGGAACTTCTTAGAATAATGTAAATGCTTCCATTTTTCATTCTATAAGAAGGACCTAAGTGCCCAGTGACATTCTCCACTAAAGCTACCCTGTTAATTTAAAGAATCTCATTCATTCTGCTACTGGTCCCTTATTCATGAACAAAATTTCCTTGGCCCCAGTGGTCCACATACTGCTCCTTTATTTTTACTCCTTAAAATTCAGGGAAGCCTATGTGAATAATGAGGCAGAGAGAAATGGTGCAGAAAGTTGCTGGGATCACTTTTAGGCAGGGAATTTATTATGCATATTTTAAAATTGACCTTTTAGTCCAAGTTTTTATTCAATTCCAATGCAAGAAATTAAGTGACAAGGTCACCGGGAATATTTGTATGCAAGTGGCAGTGAACAGTATGATTCATGAATTTTAAAAAATATTGGTAAGAAGCCAATAGATTCTTCTTCAGATTAACAGCAAGCAGAAATGCAGGAATTTTTTTAACAAAGAAGTTAAGCTTTTTACATCACACACACAAAAAAATCCTGCCCTTTGGGAGAAAATGCCATAAATCTGAAGTGTGTATGTGTGTGTGTGTGTGTGTGTGTGTGTGTGTGTGTGTAACTTCTTGTCTAGACCATGCATGTCTAATAGTGATGCATGCATATAAGTATATAA